ATTCACTTCTCCTTTTGGCCATACTGTGTCGACGACAACATCTTCTTCCTCATGAAACAGAATATCATACAGTTCTCAAAAGTAGTGAAACACCCACATCATTGTATGTCAGTGTTCAAATTGGACCACATGGGGCTCTGACGCGTTACTTCTAGCGACTCAAGCGCAGCAAAGAAGAAAACTCCAACTTCTCTCTTCGTAGAACCTCGGCATTGTTTTGATTATGATGTTATTCTTCTGCCAACGAGGTTGTTAGGTGGAGACTTTTATTAGTGGCCTGACGTTTCGACGAGATCGTCTTCCTCAAAGGCCCAGTCCACCACCGCAAGAGCAGAACAGCGCACTCCAGTTATGATTAGTAATTTTGACCCCAAGTCAGTGGTTAGTAGCCATAACCGACTTGGAAGACGATCTTGTCGAAGCGTAATGCCACTAGTAAGTCTCCACATAACAACCTCATTGGTAGAAGAATAACATCATAATCGCAGCAAAGAAGGTCTTTTGGGTCACGTTTGAACGCTTCAATAACTTAGGAAGCAACTAAGATGGAAGATAAGGAGATTCGAAAGTTGTATTTACCACCAGGACAAGTATCAAACGCAGGGACCCTTTCTCCTCCTTACGACTTTATACCGCCAAATTGAAAAAAATGGATGTAGGAGGCCAATACGACATTTCTGAGATTCAATGTCTGTCATGGACAGGAAACCGCTCGAGTACATTACTTTGGACGTTTCAGTTGGACAAGGCACCTATATGAGGGAAAAATCCTGAAAAGTAGGACTCTTCGTATTTATGGGCAAGCGAATCTCCCATCGCGCTCAGTTTGATCATCAATTGATAATGTTTCTATTTGAATTATGCTTAATTTGCAAGATGACCGACATGATTGACACCTTACTGCGTTTAAAAGCCAAGGTCGAGCTTGATTTGGAGTATTATGGCTCTTGAAACCGACCAAACAGGCCTTTCAGGACATGGGGCGATTTCTTAAAATGGTTTTTTGTGTGTTGCAGAAGTACGCTTGGAGCACGAAAGTGAGAATCTTTTTCTGAGCGGCTCTTTCAATGCCAAAAAAAGGATCGAAAAAAATTGCTGCGGAAGTGCAGTTTTCATACCATTCAAGCGTGTGAGGACATAAAGCGTTGACTGATTTGATATCAAACGATTATCGTAGACTAGGCATTGAAAGCGACGCAAAAACTCGTCAAGAATAAGTTGCTGTCAACGACATGTGCCGGAAGAACTAAGGGCGTTTCCTAGTAGGTGCTGGCGCAGTGCTCTAATTTGGCCGAGGTGTAGTGGTTAGCGATGTGGACTTGCATTGGCACGATAAGGCGGAGGTTGGTGGTTCGACTCCTGCCGCGGATAGCGCTTTGCATTTCCGACCGGCATTGACATTTTGGCGCCGAATGGCACCAGAACCAGAATGGATATCAGGACCACCAATAACCCTAACAAGAGTGGAGCTTTCACAAATACTGGTGGAAAACGTTGCTTGATCAAAATGGCGCCGATCAGGGTCGACCGAATGTTGATACAAGTATCAACGAGGGGGGGGGGGTCGTAGTTGGTCCACGAGGTGGAAGGGGGTCGTAACCGCGGCGATCATCAGGTGAAATCATTATCAGCTCTGGAATGCAATCGCGAATTAGAAGGAGGTAAGCGCGGCGCGCACCATGACAAGGATTGTTGCTGCAATGCACTTCCCATTCGAATCATCGGTAGCAAAAGTCTGTTTCGGGACTCCGATGTTTCTGGAGCTAATGAAATGAAGAATCGCAGCAGACGAAGGATGGACTGCTTGAAGAAAAAAGGAAATTGTTACAAAAGAAATCTTTTTGGAGGAACACACTTCCATAAACGCTTGAGTGAATTTTCAAAAGCGCATACTCGTAGTTCTCTGACATACTCAAAGTTTCACACAAAATTGGTTTTGAAATAAGTTACGGAAACTGAAACCTAAAAAGCTCGCGATCTCATAAAAATGGCATGAGAGTGCCCGTTTAAAAACAAAAAAGAGTAAACGGGGCTAATTTTCAAATCGATAATTTTTCAAATGAGATTCGGAACTTTCTGGAAAGCTTGGACCTTGAAGTTTATCATGCCGGCTCAGCTTTCCAAATCAATGACATTGCAGGAGCTTGTGATCGTTTGAAGTTAGAACTCGCATATGTACGGAAAAGAGTATCAACGTGTTAAATTTCTATTATTTTTCCCAAGGAAAAATTAGCGGCTCTTAGAGAGGGCATAATTCCAGTTTTTCTTCTCTATTCTTTTCACATCGTCGAGCATCCTTGAATTTTACGGAACTTTTTTGTGAACTTGAGACAGGTGCAAACTTCATTGAAAGTTCATTTGATTGAAGCAAATACTGATGAGAACGAGAAATACCGGGTGCGTGGCTCGCGCACCGAGTTTCTCCCCCTCCATTCACTACACGCTAATGTTTCTACATACACACGTTCATAGAGAGGGGCCGTATCAAACGCCCGAAAAAGGGGGTGGTCGTAAAAATTTCCAAAAAGTATCAACGGTAGGATTGGCCCTGGAGCCGATTGCGATTAGCGTTCAAAGTGAATATCACATACGGGATCGAGGCTGTGGATAACTCCTATAGCAGAAGTTTCAGTGAAAATCGTAATATCAGCAAAAGTTCGGAGAAAGTGGGCTTCGGATGGGGCAGTAGCGCGCCATTCCACTGGAGAACGACATGGAGGCGTTCTCATTCCTTCCACTAGTTGGAAATCATAAAGTGTGCCAAGCATGGAAGTACATGCACCAGTGGAAGCAGTAGTCAGGGCCTAAGGAAGCGAGATGTGGCCTTTTTCGTGACTAAAGGTGCGCTCGTTGCAGCGCCCTGGGGCTGCCAATCCTTTCTGAGCTCCGCCTCCGCCTGTGCTCCGCCCCTCAGCAGATCGCTGTTCGATTATCATTCTGATAAGGTATTCCACTTCGAGTGCGTATCCTATAACTTTCCATGGAATGCGTCATCAATCAAAGCATGATTTTGCTGAAATGATGGTGGCTATCAGTTTAACATGTGCAAACGACCTCTTAATTGGTTGCTAGCTCGTCCATTATCGGAGGTCAACGGGCAAAGAAAGGGGTCCCATTTTGCGCGTTCTTGACGGATTTCTTTGCTTTTTTCGCCACTGGGGCATTATTCAGCATCTCCACTTCCACTATGAACCCAACCCAATCTTATCGTAATCCTCGCTTATAATAAAAAACGTAAGTTATCGGAAAATAATGTCCGGTTTGGCCCTTATTTTTAAAACAACCTATTCCAACTTCGAGCAAAGATTATGATTCCTATTAGAAAAATCTACATATCTTCTCCAACGGGTACAAGTGCAATTGTTCCCTAGAATGAAATCCTGAAGTTATAGAGACGGTGAAGTCAGAATTTTTGCCCGTAGGGAGGTTCTCCTTCGCTGCATTGGCACTCTTTAAACGACTATAGCTCCAATCACAGATGATTTGTTCAAAATCGGAACAGACTCTGAATCTAGAAGCTTTTTTTGTTCCAATGAGTGTGTGCGTGGAAATCCCAATTTTAAGGATCATATGCTTATAAATTTGATTATGGAAAGTGCATTTTTGCTGAATAGCAAACTCCTCCCTGTAATTTTACACGGCCCTTTCAGAATCCTCTTGATTTTTCCTGAATTGAGATTTTTCTCCAGAGAGCCGTAGTTGAAGCGCGCGCAACCGACTGGGCCCACTCTGGGACGCGCCGTGTGCTTCACATCCCTTCATATTGGTGGACTCATTTGAAAGATAAAATATCCGTCGGAAAACGTGCTATAGTTTCTAATTCTTTACCCTTGTCTTAATAAACTACTGGGGTAGCCTGAAGTTACTACGAGGACATTACTTGTGCCGAATAACAGTGTTATTGGAAATCCCATGGTGAAGCTTGCACAGCATCGATCACATTTGACGTTTGTGTTTCATTTTTCTTTTTTTTCTGTTTCGTTTTTCTCCACAATGATGACCCTACTGCATCGATCCGGCCCGACCCTTCCTCCTACCGGCGAATAGTACCTCCCCCCACCCTTGTCGACCTTTCAAGGATTCCCCAACGCACGCATGACCCTACTCTTTAGTACTACCGCATCACATAAGTTTTCTACCAAGTCGTTTTCATTAGTGCACTTCCTATGTTTAGAACAGAAAAACCGACCGAATATGTCCGGAGTCAAAGACGGCTTATTTAGCCACAACTGCTATAAAGTGCTATGGGAGGCACGGTAAAAAAGAGCACTGACCCACCTTCAACCCTTTGACTACTGTGGTACACATGTGTGCCACTTCCGTAGTCAAAGACACTACCACAGTTTTGGGAAGTATTGAGAAAGGAGTGCCCGCTCGATGGCGGAACTGTGCACAAATAGAATTTTATAAATTTTCAAGAATAAATTGCCACGTGTAAGGGAGGATTACCCTGAATAAGTTTATGATGCAATTCGTACCGCAGGTCACTCAATGGTCAGTGTGCGCATCTCCCAAGAAGTTCATTTTCAAGTTGCAAGCTTTTAATATTATACTTTAATGTGCGATTGTGAACGTTAACTAAATTTCCAAACTATATTTCGAGAATATTTATCGGATCAAGGATGGTGTGATGACC